AATAACATAGTAACTGGGATGGCTTGTGACCTGAAAGTGAACAATGTTTTTTGTCCTTCTGCATATTCAGCTGTTCTATAGAGACTTCAGGTTTATATAGAGAACACCCCAGCAACAAATATATGGACACTTTGTTACTGATTAGTAGTTCATCTTATAAAATGTATGTGCTACAGTCTAGAAAAGTCTGTAGCATAACATGTCTCACATATACAGACATTGTGACTAAAACACTAAAGCCACCAGTATGTCTCTCAGTTATCATGTAATGACTGTAATATTTAGTGAACAGAAATGTCCCATCTGGATAACATTTGTACACAAACATAAAGGGAATGACTGGAGAAAATGCCAGTTTATTTGTCATGGCAATTTCCATACTGGCAAGAGGAGTTGGGTGGTGCTAAGCTTTGGGGGATCTTAAAGACACAGAAAATGAAGCAGCTTGTTTTGAATTGTGGAAACACCCAGGGACTGCATCAGGATCCAGAATAAAATATTGTCATTATTATTATTTTTTTATGCTGTGAATCATGAACAACTACTTGTGTAGAGTCCAAGAATATAAATACTGAGCTGAAAATGAGCATAATAGGTCCTCTTTAAACATTTCTTGTAGTGACATATTTTTCTTCACAGTTTTATATGAATGCTGACATATTACATTATAAAAAAAACAAAACAAAAACAAAACAAACAAAAAAATGCCAGTAACATACCAAGCAATGCACTGTCAGAAAGCATCCATTAATTCATCTGAGCCTTAGGAACAGAATAAATAAGAAAAAGAGGAGTTTAATGGTGCATTAGTAAGGAGCCAGTGGAAAAGTCCCTGGGTTATGTTTTCAATAGGCAACCATTATGAAAACCAACTTATCACACACTTTCCAGAGAAGATCACTTGGCACTACAATTGTAATGGTTCCTCATGAAGAAGACTTTGGGCTTTAGCTTGTTACTGATAAGAAAGTTCCACAGAAGTGGAAAGGTTGTATATTCAACCTTTAAAATAAATAAAAAGTATCCATCCATCCATCTTCGTCCGGGGCCGGATCGTGGGGGCAGCAGCCTAAGCAGAGAAGCCCAGACCTCCCTCTCCCCAGCCACCTCCTCCAGCTTATCTGGGGGAACACCAAGGCGTTCCCAGGCCAGCCGAGAGATATAATCTCTCCAGCGTGTCCTGGGTCTGCCCCGGGGCCTCCTCCCGGTGGGACATGCCCGGAACACCAACCCCAGGAGGCATCCTTGTCAGATGCCCGAACCACCTCAGCTGGCTCCTTTCGATGTGGAGCAGCAGCGGCTCTACTCTGAGCCCCTCCCGGATGGCCGAACTTCTCACCCTATCTCTAAGGGAGAGGCCAGCCACCCTTCGGAGGAAGCTCATTTCCGCCGCTTGTATCCGCGATCTCGTTCTTTCGGTCACTACCCACAGCTCGTGGCCATAGGTGAGGGTAGGGACGTAGATCGACCGGTAAATTGAGAGCTTCGCTTTTACACTCAGCTCCCTCTTCACCACGACCGGTGCAGCGTCCGCATTACTGCAGCCGCGCACCAATCCGTCTGTCGATCTCCGGCTCCCTTCTCCCATCACTCGCGAACAAGACCCCGAGATACTTGAACTCCTCCACTTGGGGCAGGAACTCATCCCCGACCCGGAGTGGGCACTCCACCCTTTTCCGGCTGAGAACCATGGCCTCAGATTTGGAGGTGCTGATCCTCATTCCCAGCTGCTTCACACTCGGCTGCGAACCGTTCCAGTGCGAGCTGGAGGCCTTCACCCGATGAAGCCAACAGAACCACATCATCCGCGAAAAGCAGACTCATAAATAAAAAGTAAATAAATTGAAATATGTTATTTGTGAGAATAATGCAACAACCACATTTTCACTTTGGGGTAAAAACATGTTTTGGAACAATTCCATTTAGCAGTTTCCAATTATGATTACAGATTTATTTTAAAGGTTCAGATTGATAGTTTTCATGCAGTTTAGTTGCTTATTTCTCATATATTAATTTAAATAGATTTGGACTTCCACAGGACACAGACGTTTTCATTTTTCTATTAAGTTGGAAGTCTTGGGTGCAAGTAGCAAATATTTTTAATGACATTATGCCATTACTGCATTATGTAAATTCTTCAATTATTGTGAATCTTCCATTTTTTTGTCTGCTTTTTTGACTGCCAATTTGTGGTTCCTTTACTCATACCTGGCTGGAATCTATTGTGCTATTTATATCTTAGAATCAAAAAACATTCCTCTAAGTTATCGTTTGTTTTTACGGCCACACATTTCAGTTGGGCCTGATCCTTACCATGGAAGTTTGGGGTTGAATCTAGCCCAGGTCCTTCACTGTAATCAATCAGCGGCATCTTCATCTATCCAAAAATAGCAAGCAAGAGTTTGATGCATTTATTTATTTATTTATTTATTTATTTTTTTTAAATAACATTGGATGTTCTTGTTCTCAGCAAAACTGCTCGAAAGCCCCAGCTTGATGTTGTAGCTATTTCATTTGTTAACAACTTATGACTATTAGTTTTCACTTCCTCATATGACTTTCCATCAGTCATATCAAGATTCAGAATCTGACTTTACTTGGCTGATTATCAACTGGAACAATGTCCCGTGGATGCAGATAATGGAGAATTTAATTAGAAAAATACAATCATCGTGTTTGCCTTGTGCTTTGCTTTAGATAAGATATTTTTTTCACTAATATGGTTTTATTAGTTCTCCATTTGTTTAGTTTGTAATGTTAATCTACTAAGTAATCCAGTGCCAAATAAATTATATAAATTTAATTATCAATCCTGTTTATGTAGCATGCAAGCTAGTACCATGGCTGAGAACTAACTAGGACTAAAGAACACTGATATTTACCAAAAGTTTGTTTGCTTTGTCTTTGAAATTCCTTTTTTCCCTCAGAAATTACTGACAGGATGTGAGAAATTTTATATATGATTTTGTATATTTAGCCCTGTGAGTTTTTCCTGGACAACTATGTATGCATAATTTTTTTTTTCTGATGACGAAAAAAGGTAAATATTCACATCAACTATGATATCTGTAATAAATTCAGAGGTTGAAAACAAGGATCAGACAATACAGAAAAACAACAATAGTTTATTTGAACCATATTTTGTGTATGAACTACAAACTGGTCTCTATAATCGATCTCCGTATCTTTTAAAGGTCATGAAAGAATGCTTACATGAAAATCGATCTCTTATTCTTTTACAACATATTTATCTTTTTTTTTTTTTATTATTTTTGAACAGGTTGTTGGCACATGTAAAATCAAAATTTAAAAATTTTTGTTTTTGTTATATTTTATTCTCAAAATGTATTTTATATAAATCTACCACTAGAACAGCATTCCTTCTCAGAAAAAGAAAAGGATGTGAAAAAAAGGAATATTGACAAAAATATTTTAGATATCTTACACACATGAGACAGCTTGACTAAAATGCAACAAAGTTACCATTGAAATTTTCAGACAGTTTACCTCCAACTAAAGGCAGAAGGGAAAGATGGTTACACTCTCAACATAAACTGAGGAGAATCGTGATCCCCTGCCTGCCAGTATGAACTGAAACAGAGAATGACACACACACACACACACAC